ATTCACCGCGTGACGGAGGCGCTCTTCCGACGTTTCCGCAAACACTCGACCGAGAAATACCGTTAGGTTGCCAATTGTTAGGAACCTGAGACACCATAGCCAATATACACGAACGGTAGGAATACCTACATACCTACGTGTCCCATTTTGGGACTCAAGGTTTTTACGAGACTCCATGTAAAAAGTAACCGTCTAGACGAACGAACTAGCGAAACCAGATAATTTCGCGGTACAGTCTCGAGGTCAATGTGTAATAGGTAGACCATATCCAGGTATTGGTATTTGCTCTATTTTTGTCCATTGTCGCAATTTTAAAATGTCGACATGCGCAGGTATACGGACTACACGGAGTGTAACAGCTAAGACGCACGTTTGTTTTGCGGTGAAACGGCGCACGATTTTGAAAATTTGATGTGAAATAATTTTTAATTGAACATTGATTATGTATATTATTGTTCGTTTAATTTCTGTTCGCAAATAAAAAAATTATTTTTGACATTAAAAACAGTATCAAAAAACAAAGGCAAAAGTCATAGAGATAAAAAAAATAGAGATGAAAAAGACGTTCACACAGTCAGATTTGGCAATTTTTTGACCAATTCCGATACTGACGTAACTCCTTAGGTTCGCGCCGAATATGCAATTCGCAATTATTTTGAGGTACCCGTCCAGTCAGACACAAACCCGTACACGGTGGCTGAAAGTTATTGCAATTCCAATTTTATAAGTAACATTTTGAAAATCTATATATTTCATTTTGTACTTTCGAAAAAAAAATTATAAGCCAAGTAAAAACCCATACAGACATTGACTTCATATTTTTGTAACTATAAAAAGACAAGGTTTAATAACTCCGTCAGCATCTATGGTCCATTGGCTGTGTAAAGATAATAAAAAAAAATCTCAAGTGATCTCATTAATGAGGTCATTCTTGATAAAAAATTCAAAAGACTAATTCCCACCATCATTCCTAGGAAGCCTATGGTCTATCAAGAGAAACAAGTGCGTTCAATATAAATGGACGCATCCTGTAAAAACAATGGTATATCACTCAGGGCAGGTCGGAACTTAATTCATAATGTAGTTATCCCGGCGAGTAAGGAACACTTTGCGGCCAATATAATCTCTAATAATTCTAATAACTCGCGCGGGTCGTCGCAAGCGGAGGAGCGCTGGTAGAGCGAAGGGAGTGAAGAAGCGTAAGGGGCTGGTATTCAGGAGAGGGTGAGAACATTTCCTGGAGCCGTGCCCGCTGCGCCGCGGAGGAGAGGTCTCGCAGCGGGACCGAGATGAGACGAGAAGAAATGAGAAGAGAGCACGGCTCCGGGATAGGTATAGTGATGCGTAGAGCGTATAGGGATGCCGAGAGGAAAAGGAGAGCAGAGAAGAAGACTGGAGGAGAGATGGAATAGGTCGGGGGATGGAAGGAGGAAATGGAGGGAAGGCCAATTAGAGGGCGGAAAGATTTATCTGCGGGCGACGGGTGTGCGGATAGTAAGGGGTAGGTCGCTCTCTCCGTACCGTGCTTGTATTATACCCCGGTCAGGCGTACAACCCCGTCCACAAGAACGCGACGTGGTCCAGCTGCCAATGTCTTCCGAAGGAGAATATACCCTTGATATCACTTGGGAAATATTTCACTAGACCTACCACAGGATAAGCGACAGTGTGAGTGACGATATTGCGAAATAAATCGAAATTCCACACAGTACATTTTGGCAATACGTTTACGTGATATATTATACAGGCTGATACCACCTACGTATTACGTAATAAAAGCAAAATGACGTAATTGCTAGGCCCTTATCTTTTCCCATACAATTTTTCAAGAATTAATACCAAACTCAAATTACACTTTGACGTGTACTCGTTTCGGCTGTATAACGTGAGCGCAGCGTGTTGCCTTCTGGGAAGAGGCCTTAGGGTTTAAATTATTTTAATAAGAACGGCTGACATCTTAACTGCCCGGATAAGCAGATCAAAGCATTGCCCAGGTGCTGGTAGTTTCTACAAGCAAAATAGCTGGCGTCATAATGATACCTATATAAGAGTCAACCTGCAACCTCTATGTATACATAAAAGAGACCTCATTGCGTCTGATACTTTTATAGACCAGGACAAAATTAGGTAAGTGTCTCCATGCGGACAAACAAGAGAACTAATAGAACGAGCCGGCCGCGCGTTGTCTACACCCAGCTTCGTTTAGGGTACCAAAGGAGAATTATTGTCGGACAAGAAAAAATGTTTAATTTTAATTCCGACTAATTACTACGCCGTGTAATCTACCGTCATTGCGTTACAACCCTGAGAGTAATTCCTAAAATTCTTAAGGACATTCAGATCCACCCTCTGGCTGTACTACCCCTTCAAAAAAAAAACCACTCAGACACCATATACGTTGAGTGATCAATGAGTCACGATGCGCGAGTGACTTATTTTAAACAACCGAGGCGTTACGGGTGCATGTAATAGGAACAACAACGCGAACGGTCTCGCACCCTGCCAGCCAACCAGCCACCCCTCAGTTCGTTTCGGTGTTGTTACATAATACACGCTGCGGCGCGGTTACGCGGATGAGGGATGAGGTGCTGCGTTGCCTAATAACCTCCCCCTGCCACAACCTCGCACCTCCCTCCCCATCCCAACGATGCCCACGGTATGGCGTTCGCGAGCCCTGCATACACAGCCACCCCCTAGGAGAGCACGACATAGCAATACTAAAGCTCTCTCGCCCACCATGGAGCCAGGAACCTGCCGCGCGAGAAGTAATTATATGAGGGCGGAGCACGCTACACCCATCTACACCTAGCACATCCGTATCAGTTGCCTTTGCCAAGGAAGTGATCCCCCCCGTCGCCCCTTCGTCCCCGGAGAATTTTTCAAGTAACTTCGAAGAATATTCAAATGCCGAAAGAAAACCATATTCCCCGGCTGTCGAATAAATGCTGAATATAATTGGACACGATATATCTATATATTAATTAAATAATGTTTTTTTTTCCTGCACTGTGAATTTATCTAATTTTGTTACGGGTAGGAAAATTGAATTTTTTTTCTGTAATAACTTGTACAGGGTCCTCGATGAGGATTCGATAAATCGAAAAACTCTCGCGTGTGCCAGCGGGGTGAGAATGGCAGAATGGAGAGCGCCGGTTCCTCTTTCATCGAAATTACAGCACAGCCGTCGGGTAAAGTACTCGGCAGTGGCCGTGCGTGAGAGACTTGGAAGACTTATATATTTAAGTGGATATAGCTATAGAGAGAGGGACTTACTGGGATTCAATTACCGCAACGTCTGCGAGGCACGCCATTCCCACCCTTGGGTTTCTTGGAGCTAGAGTACCTCCGGGTGCCCCGTTCCTACCCTTCTATCCAAGGAGGAACGAACAGGTGCTCCTTTGTCTGCTGTAAATTGCACCCCCCCCCCCGTAATCCAAAGTAAAGCGCTCGTTTTATCCACGCCTCGCGACTCGATGGATGCGGTACGTCTTCCGGATAATAGGTTACAGTTACGCAACCCTTATCAGAGGCCCCAGCTTCTTCTCGGAGCAGGGAATAAAATCTTGAATTATTGCACGTGACAATTGAATTGCCTATCGGGGAAGGTACGATGAAAAAAAGAAATGATAAAAAAAGAAATAAAATCTTACATATGACTTGACGGGTTTTTTCATCACTACGGAGATCGGTAATCGTGCGTGGAACCAATCACGGATACACCTTCGGGCCGGTATGAGTCTGTTCGATCGTAGGTACATAATTCATCGGGCGTGCACCATTGTCGGAGCTTCATTAATACAAATGGCGTCTGCTGAATCCTAGCCAAGCGTGTTCCCTGCTATACAACAGCCATGGCGACGATCTCTGCTGCTGGTTCTATCCGAGTAAGCAAGGCCGACCAACCCTTGAACGTTCTTCGTAACGCGCACCCTCGCCCCAAGGATACGTGGGACATATTTTTCCAGTCCTTGTCGACTTTCATGAGAGCGACTATCCGCAATAACATATTAATATCGTTCCGCGTGCGGAGACTTATGGATATCACGGAAAGCTCGACCCCGGATCAACGCGTTGGCCGTTACAGAGGGACTTTGCTAGTCGAGCGGATTCGGCTGCATTTTCAGCTTCGGTTTCGTAAAGCGTCTATCGCACGTTTCACCTTTAGACGCTGTATTTTTGCGCAATTTATAAAGATTGCATGAGAAAAGTCGCGTGAACGTTTCTTCGGTTAGGATTTATCGAGCGGATGTTGTTTATTGTTTGTATTTTATTATTTTTCTTTTTACTAATTGTTTTTAATTGTTTTTATTAATTATTAGATATGTTTACTCGTAATTAGGTATTTGTTAGCGGTGTGTGATTGATTTAGGAAAATTCAGAAATATCCTATTTTTATGTAACTATACTAATAATATGTATACTTGCGAAATATGTTGATTATGCCGTAGGCTGATACGTATTTGGCTAGTGTTATGCTCGCGAATATTTGTCGCTTGCTACATGTCGAAAGCACAATTTCACTAGGATATTACGTAATTTCGTTACACCGCTACGTTCTACTGCGTTGCTGCTTTCGACAAGCAGTTATTTGCATTTATCGAGGGTTGCGAATTATAACAGAGTGCCAAATCGTGTATGATGAATTATGGTCAATAATACCTAAACATGCATTAAGAAGACAATCATACATACGTAAATAATTTTCGATAAAATACCTAACGCAATACACAGTGGCAGAAACGAAATATGATATTCTCAAAAAAATGCAAATATGCAACACGGATAATCAAAATTGGCTAAGTTTGCAATAAAATTTTATCGTTCCGCCATCTACAACAAAATAAATAACGTTTTTGCCACTGACAGAATAAATACTGTACATACAGGTGTATAACGACACTAAAAAGCCCAAAAAGAAAAGTTGAAAAATAAGGATAGGAAGTGTAATGGGTTCTGCTGCCACGGCCAGGGCCGCAAGCAAAGAAGCAGGAGACAGAGCATTAGATTCAATTCGCATTTATTTTTTTTAGCAGTTGTATAATCATTATAATATTACAATGGCGTTCAGAACGGCAATCGCCCCTATAGTATTTCATTCCGTTACAATCTTTGTAGGAAGCAGGTGCGGCCCTGGTCGCTTTTAGATACATACATCAGGATCAGATCGATAAACAATTAATATTCTAATATATTACAAAAAAAGAAATTTTTGCCACGTAAAACGTTCACACATACAGAGCTACCGTTATGTATAGGTGTTTTTTTTTACCTACTACTAAACTAGGCCTACTTGCCTATTAATTACGTATAGTACAGTGGAGCAATTAAAGATTCGTTCGGAGATCCACAAAATAAATAATTATTAACATTAGATTCCTCTTAGAAATACTTTGTTTATCTAATTTTCCTTTTTTCCTTCACTTAGCGGCTACTCGTATACATTCGTTAACTAGAATAAAATTACTATTAGGCTAGGGCGCCATACTTTTTCGTTCAGGCGTATAGGTACTAGGTAGGTACGTATATAGGTATTTTTTTTTCCTCTCTGTACGTGCTGCTCTCATTTAATATTCCTTTTATGTTTTACCTCCTTCCCCCTCCCATTATCATTCCTCCTCGACCCCTCCTGTTTTACGTCACGCTTCGCCATGGACGACCTATAGGTAGATATTTCTCCCGTTTTAACGTTAACTCCAAGTGAAAAAAAGAAAAATCGCCGTCTTGGACCTGTCATGCAGCGCGCGCTCTTTGCTCTCTTCGCAGGTACTAAACCGAGTACGTCAATAATGTTTCTCTACTATAATAATATCTCAACAAAACTTTCGAACAGCAATATAATATAATTCGAACGACACACGGAACAATCGCTCTCGGTTCGCATTGATTTACGTGGCGACGGAGGATCGAAATCGCGACGCCGGGCGTCGCGTCACCGGGTAAGAGCGACTCCCGTTAAACGAGTTCTTGGCTAGATATATAAAAAGTAACAAAATAATAATAATAGAATAATAATATAATAATAATATCAATAATATTAATAATAACAGCAACATATCAGTCGTCAAATCATCGTCTCTCGAAGAGAATCATTGAGCGGGCGCTTTATTTTTATTGCGTGGGATCACTCAAGATATATAAGCTTCAATAACAAATGACAGACATCTGGAATCTCGACGATTTTCTACAGTAAAAATTCATATACGAGATCGTTCACCGGGATCGTAAAAATTTCTTTGCATCGCTCCGTTTTCAGAACACGTGGTTAATGTGCTCTGTTTATCCTTTTTTTTTTCTTTTCGGTAATTAATACACGCGCGTTTAATTAATTTATTTTTTTTATCTCATCTCACGTATCTCTTCTTCCAACGGACATTAATATCTAGTCTCTAGCTACTTACGTATATTCGTGGTTTTTTTCATTTTCATTTTACGTATTTTGGATTCTCGACCGAGTGTCGCCTCTATCCACCCTTAATTATCCTTCCTAATCCCTTCTCTTCCCCATCGGTCAGAGACGCCCTCCAACCACAATCCCTCTCTAACAAAATCCTTTCGCAACCTTCCCTAGTTGTACACATATACCCTACCCACGGGATCGCAACGATCTACTGTCTACTGCACTACGATAGGCTAGAATAGGCCAGGTCCTACTGTACTGCTAAACTGGTAGGTGGTGGTGGTGTACTGAGCTTGGGTATGGCTGATTGGTTTTTTTGCTCTTTTTTTTTAAGGGTGGTGTTGGGGTGTTGGGCAAGTGAGCTACGGTAGTCCAGGATTCGTCACTCACCGGGTGCAGCATCCATTCGCCGCAACCGATAAACTGACTATCGACTGATACACACGGATACCTATTTGGCATTACGGAAACAGTGGTTGCAGCTTGCCACTCACCTGAAACAAAAATGCAAATTTATTTTTAATTTTTAATAACTGATAATTAACACAATTTTAATAATCCACGTACTGGGTGTTTCATCGATTGTTTTTCCCATCGTTCCTTTCGTCAGGGGATATATAGTGTAACGTAATTCTTTTAACTTATGACCCGACACCGATAGCAAAACATACGAGAACGACTATCTTCGAGATCCAACCTACGTTACCTTCGGCCGTCCACCCGTAGTTCGTGCATCCGCAAGCCAGGCGGGCGCCAGCCAATTCTTTTTTCACCGGGAACTGACGAGCCGGTATAAACTGGGAGTTGGGGTGGAACAG